TCCAGTCAATCTCTTCTTCTGGACTCCTTACTTAAATGGGAATACAGTCATCCCAAGTCGCTGAAGCTGATTTAAGGACTGATAGCTCACTTTTCTCATTCAATCAGAAGACCAGGTCTCAGACTGCCCTTGCGGTTCATGTAGCCTTGCCTTGCAGAAAGACTATATCATCCAGGCTGGAATGCAGTTTGCAATCGGCACCAGCGCCCCTGACAAAATTCGAATGTCATGGCAACGTCACTACTCCACTACACATCCACGGGGCCCATCCGAATCACATGAATAACAAGAGTGTTGGCCATTTCCATGATGCGTTGGTCTCGAGGTTATCAGCAAGACTTTAATAATAACTTTTAATGAAAATAAATAACGCCGTCGATTGCAATGGTTAATGCATGTTTCAGTCGACTCAACGCTCCCTTCATTAAATCTGCTTCTGGGTTGGCCCGGTTTGCTTTGAATGTCATATCTGCCTTCTGACCTGCTGACCTTCCGCGGTCCACTGTTGCTGTGGGGTGGAATGGTAGCCTCGGCCCGATGCTCACAAACCGGCATTACATCTGCTGGGCATGCTGACGAGCGAAGATGAGACGGGATTGAAATAGTAGTCCACACCTTAGCCAGGATGAGAATGTCTTGTTGAAGGGGTAGCAAAGTGAAAGTCAATATGATTCTGAGACCTGTCCATCTCACTATGCATCAACTTATATTCATCTAAAGTAGTATATAAATGTGTAGTAGTAGTAGTAGTAGTAGTAGTAGTAGTAGTAGTAGTAGTAGTAGTAGTAGTAGTAGTAGTAGTAGTAGTAGTATTAGGAAAATTCGATGCAAGCACGAGTTTGTTGATCATTTTATAGACGATTTCCCACACATCCCTGGAAAGGGCCGATTGCGAATCTTGTTGTCGGACTGGAAATTTGTGAGAGATGAGAAGACATTTATCGTCGCATGAATGTGCTCAACGAGAGATACGAAGACCGGGATGTTGTGGCCTCTATTTTGGTCAACTTGGTTGTGTTTTATGCGAAAATTAGTTGAAAGCACCTTGCCCCAAGTCGTCTGCTGTGTTAGTCATAATCGTTCTGACCATTTAGCCGTGGACTTGGTACATTCCCAGAAGTTTCGCCGGCATCGTCAATAAGTCTTGCCGTTCTCAGCGCCAAGTTACAAATTGTCAGAGCGACAAAACGACGGCAAAACTCACTGACGATGATGACTAGGATGTCTGCGAAAAGTCTGAAAATGTACTAATTCCACGGTCTAGTGCTGGAAACTATGTTAACTGATATAGCAGAGGAGTGCGGACAAGGTGCGTCCAACTACGTGGCCCTAACAACACGACCAAGTTGCGAAAACGAGACCATGCCACATTTGTGCACCAAGAGAGTTTGTAAGTGTGTCTGTCTATCCTCACGAACCGGGGCAAGCAGGCCGACTGCAGGTCCGGCTCCAAGGTCACGGCTTCGGCACTACTGACGCCAATACGACCGACTAGTTCGAGTCCGTCTTCGCTCTGGCCGGCGGTGCTGAGACCTGCGAGACCGTTTGGTTCGTGGAAGAGGTGTGGCATCTGGACGGCGTCATCGGCCCGGGGTGGGCAGTCGGTCCGGTCGGGTGGGTCGAGGCCGAGGGGTGGCAGGGCGCCGGAGCAGAAGAGTCCGTTTCGAGGGTCGCCGGGGCTCAGACCGTCGTCGACCGAGGCTCGATATCCGGCGCCGGATTGAGCCAGACAACCAGACAAGACTGGAAGGGGCAGCCAAGAGCTCAAGTCTGCGGGCTAGCAGGAAAAGAAGAAGATACAGATAGATTAATTTTGCTGCAGTTTGGACGGGCGGCACGAATGACGCATTGTTTACCGTCAACTTGAGGAGACGGAGTTGATGCTGACGCCGATGAAGCCGTCTTTTCGAGGCGTCCAGGTTGATCACCAAAAATCTGGCTTCTCGTGAATAGGCTCAAATGCACAGTCATCTACCAGAATACATCTCATACTACTGATTTACTGGTAGTCACGAAAACAATACTTAATTCGAAAAATAATGTATAGTAGTCGATTGTTATAGCAGATATACGTTTGTTGCATCGACACTTCCACCAAAAAGAATATGATATGGCAAAAAGGCCTGGCTTTCCTTGAAAATTCACATTTTCCTTTTGACCCAAAAGGCGCTCGTGGTGGTTTGGTCGAGTGGTTAGTGTGTCAAGCTGGCATCCTGACCTCTCGCGGTTCGACTCCCGCTGACGGTGTTGATTCGTAGTTAGTAGATTTGTGTGAATATCAGCAGATGAGTAGCAATTTATTTACCCTAGGTCATTACAGATAGGAGCAATGCTCAACTCATATCATTGTGGGATAATTCTTCTTCTACCAGTCCTTCATCACCTTAAACGAAATTGGGTGAATACATCTCCCATTAGGATATATACAGTCTGGACGATTCTCAGATGTGTGATCGCCCGATCACGACCTCACGACTTTGGTATCGGCTCTTATGGGAAAAGCAAAACTTCCGTCGTTGTGCTTACTCTCATTTGAAGTAAAGTGTTTGGTGAAGATATTTGAAGGTCGGTTCCAGCAGAAGACGACGGCGGATTCCTCTCGACCGGTTGTCGATTGGCTTTA